CCCAAGGGATTTTCCACTATTTAGAAGTCAGGAAAGTGGAGCTGCTACTGCTGAGGGGCTGTGTTTTCATATACTGTGAAATACACAAATACTAGCTGTTTGCTCACATTCATAAAATTTACAGCATAATATTGTAAACATTTCCTCATATTACTAAAATTCTTTGAAAAACGTAATCTTTGATGGTTTCCATTGGATCGGCTATCTGCGCTATAATCACATGCTGTTGGGGGCTTAAGCTGTTTCTACTTCTGAATGGGGTGGTCTTCTCTGATTGTTTCTTTGGAAGAATTCCCAAGGGATTGCTTTGTCAAAGGGCATGGGCCTTTTAAGGGTTCGCCAGATTTCTTTCCAGAAAGACTCTCGTGAGAAGCTTGAGGTTATGTACTTTTCAGACACACAAAAAAGTGTTCATTATTTAGAATGTGTACAGTGAGATCTTAGAAATAATAGAGTCTTTTCTGAAAAGCAGCAGTACTCCTTAGTATCAGAAGTCCCTTTTATCTGAGGATATGAAAGCACTTCTTTTTACGAAAGCTTTTCTTGTGCTGAGATAGACAGAGATTTGCACATAAATAGCAAGGCGAATACATTCAGGCATTTCTCCAGACCAGTAGCCACAGCAGAAGGAAGACCAGACTCTGCTTGGTTTTTGTCAGGGGTGCACTGCACCTTGTCCCCTTTCTCAGTAACTAATTCTGATGTGAGAAAGTCTCCACCTGCTTTTGATTATTGGCTGTGCTGGCGGGTCCCCAGCACCTGGCTTTTCTAAGCTGGAGGTATGATGGTCACTCTTTGCCAATGCTCCACAAGCCATCATTTGCAGAAGGGCAGCAGGTGATCATGTTCTTACCAACACCTGGGAAATGCAATTAGATTTTAGTCCTTCAGGCATTTGCAGACAGAATCACCTGTCTCTGCTCACATCAGAGTGAGCCCTTGGTTAGGTCTCAGGTGGTAGCCAGTGGCTGTGTCACTTGCCTGGCAGCCTCCATTAAGGGTTTACCTGCCAAGGTTTTGAGGTGGCTGTTTGTACTTACCCAGTGCTTGGATTGGATATTTAACCCATGGCTTTGGAAACAGCAGTCACTGCGGTTAACATTTACTGAGTTCTTACCAGGTACCAGGCATTTTGCTCCACGTGCATTATCTCATTTAATCTTACATAATCACATGAGGTAGGTACTGTTATTAGCCTCATTTTATCTGTGAGAACACTGAGGTTCAGAGAAGTTAAGGAAAGAACTTGCCCAATATTTCACAGTTAGTAAGCAGTGGAGTCTAGCTTCATTCTCTAGGACAAGCTACATAATTGGTCGGGCCCACTGAAAAATAAAAAATATGGTCCCTTGTTAAAAAATGATTAAGAACATCAAAAGTGCAACCACGGAGCATTAAATATTAAGCATGGGACTCTTCTATATGCAGGGCCCTGTGTGACTGCACAGGCCACACATACGTAATGCAACCCTGCACGTACACAGTCTGGTTCTAGAAAGCACACTCTTAGCAAAACAAGCAGCTGAACGACACACAGTTCGGCAAAGATTTGACTTTGGCAGGTAGATAGAAAATGGAAGCTTATACACGTGCTCTGCAGGCATAAGTCCTCTTTAAACGCCAGCTTTCTCTTCATAAAGGACTTGGAACTGTTTTCTAGCTGGGGCAAACAGAGCTGACCCTGTCTTGGGCCTGCTCATTTGTCTTTTTATTTTTTGAGAAGAGGGGTAGGGTGGTCTCACTATGTTGCTGGGTTCGAACTCCTGGGCTCAGGGGATCCTTCCCATCTCAGCCTCCCCAGTATCTGGGACTACAGATGTGCACCACCACGCCTGGCTGGCCCTGTGCATGTGTAACAGCTTCCTCTTGGTTTCTGTGTTTGTCCTTGCTGGGCTGGTCGTCTTCCACTGAAAGGCACCAGGTGCCAACCGGTTGAGATGCTCCTTAGATTCCTTTTGCTCTACTTAAATCCAGTTCTAATGTTCCAGGCTAGTTCAACTGGACAATTGCCCCTCTAGCAGCTGTGTCATCCCCTCCCACTTCCTGGCTTCCATTGCCGCTAGCTGCTCTAGAAGACACCCACACCTCCAACCCAGCCGTGGGCCCACCTGAGTCATCGAGCCAGTCCAGCTCAAGGTGTCGGCATTTTCTCCCTTGTCCTGGTGTTGTTGGGGAACAGCGAAGTTTCTGAGGGGAAAATAGGAGCCAGCCATCTGTCTTCTCCTGGAGCTTAGTTTTCCTAGAGACATATTGCTCAGAAACGAGTCCCTCCCACAGAAAGCCCAGGGCAGGATGGTAACTGCTAATACTTACTGAGTGCTTGCTTTGAGTCACGCTCCACATGTACTTACCCTTCACGTGTAGCTCAGGCTTCACATGCAACTCGTTTCATCTTTAATAGCTATAAGGTAGGTGCTTTAATAGCCCCATCTTTTGGATGAAGAAAGTGAGGCAGAGAGGTTAAGTAATGTGTGAAGATGGGAGAAGAATTAGGGATGGGATGGAATTAGGATAGGAATGTCAAGATGGGATGGAATTAGGAATTAGGATAGGAATGTCAAGATGGGATGGAATTAGGACAGGAATCCACATAGTCTCTACTTCTAGAGCCTACAGACAACCCTCACACCTTACTTCGAAGTTCTACTGAGCATTCTCCAAGGATGGGCAAGGCAGCCTCACAGGCCAGGTGTAACTAGAGCCCCAAATCCAGGGATGTGGCCTTCCCATTGCCTCAGAGCAAAGCTCCAAAGTGTAAAGTGCTAGAACTTTCCCAGAGTGACATGGTTAAATGGTTAAATGGTCTCTCCTTTTAGTTCCCCAGAGACAGGGAACACAAATACACACACACATGCCTGAGATACAGTGTTATTCAAGAATGGTGATGCCTTTATGTCTACCAGGAAGGGTGTCACCAAAGAAAGATGCCCTTAAACATAAAGACTTATTCGAATATTATGTCACTTGTGCCCTTACCCAAGAACTTTGCTTTAATTTTAACATTCTAGTCAGCAAAACACTGAACAAATTAGAAGCCAATTGTAATAATAATAATACTTTGCATTGTTATAGTACTTCATAGTACACTGAATTTTTTCACATTTTCCTTGAATCCCTCGAACACTAGGATTTGGAGAAGTGACATGGGCCAAAGGACAAGCAGTTAGTGTGAGGTGGAATTGGATCTGGAGCCGGCATCTTTTTACTTCTTTCTGATGCTCTTTGGGTGACAAAGGGGACGTACCATGGCACATCCTTTCTGCAAGCTGGAGGAAGGGTGTGTGTAGCACTTGGTCAGGATCAATAAGATGCTGATTCAACAGGTTCAAAGCCTCGGTTTGTTTGGCTGCGTCTGCAATGTATTTCTTTCTGAGCCTTTTAGAATGAAAGACGATCTCTACTCCCAAAGTCAGGAAGTTGTGAGACAGTCAGGCTAGAGCCTTCAGTGTTTCCACAAGTTGCTAGAATATTTCCAAGAGTCACCCATAAACCTGCATAAAATGAAGCCGTAAAGGCACATCACTCTCCTTTTCTAGAGGGCTAGCTTAATGTGAATCGGATTGTTCTGGAGAGGGATGCTTGGGAAAGCGGCTCTGTCCAAGTTCCTGAAAGCACCTGAGAAAAGTTCTGAGAGCTTTCTTGCACATTTAAGTCAAGATCATGGTGAGTAAAAGATTGAGAGACAAGATTAGGAAGGCTGGCCCAAACTACTCATTTAAGAAATGGAAACTGTAATTTAGATAATTTGCGATAAGAGGTGTGAATGACTCAGAACAGAAAATTGAAAAGGAAAATAGCCAAGTGACTCATCCCCAAAGGCAGAAAGGAACAGTGAGTTCTCCAGGCCCACCGGTGGGTGATTGACGGCCCAACCATCAACATTATTCTTTACTCTGTTGCAGTCCCAACGTGCCTATAACCATGGACCCAGTGACTCACCCATTGCATGGATTCAGAAACAGGCCCCACATAAGTTAACCAAATTCAGGAGAATGGATTAGATGACTATCTAGGTGTTAGTTAGCATAAGATTATAATACCAATTGGCATGAAAATGAATATCAATTAATTTAGACTCTCATCTCTACGTAAATTATAAGCCTTTTTCTTCTAGCAATACTTCTTTAGCCCCATCTATATAGAGTAGGCTCAATACTCCCTATATGTAAGTAACTTATGCAATTGCAAAACTCTTAAGAATGCAGAAGTTGGTGTTATCAAAGCACATTTGAAATACATATTAATAGGGCTGACTATAAAAAGATTCTCTTGTATTCAAACATTCATTCCACCAGCCAACGTTTATTTTTAGCACCTGTCCTCGGTGTAAGAGGTGGGTGGGAGGCGAGGCAGGACTCAGAGGTGGTGTAGAGTTCCCAGTAAAGAGGCAAAGAGAACCAGGCAGAGTTAAACTTCACTGTCAGTAGGGGAAGAAGCACAGAGTCTTTGCTTCTCCATTCTACCCTGTTTGTAGGCTTCCCCACATAGGGCTGTTCATGGGTCCTCTCTGAATTTGTACTGGGCCACACGACCTCTTTAAAGTGGAGCACCCATCACCCTTGAAGGCAGCCACAGTCTGCCCAGGAGGAGAGGATGCCCACAGATAACACTGCAAAGGGGAAGCCTTGTCACATCTAAACAAGGCAATGGTGACTCCTTCCCAGATGTTTGGGTCCCCCTAAATCAGACATGCCCATGATGTCTGCTGTTTCTGAAAAAGAAAGTATCATTTTTCCATCAAAAACGCAGTTCTGGGTGACTGCAAATTTCCTAAAATGTTGTAAGATTCAGGAAACCTTAAAAATAAGGATAAAAGCAAGAGAAGCAATGGAACAATGTTCTGAATTGTGTAAAGCCTTTGAAATGAACTTCTACTCCCTAAAGCCCATGAAGTGGGGGAGGGGGGAATGTACAAACCTTTTAAAAAATCTGTGGATTTTTTAGTCAATACTCTAATTTCTCTGCCACTCTTCCTCTCTCTTTTGAATATTTCTCACCAGGGTATGGGAATATTGCTCCAAGCACTGAAGGAGGCAAAATCTTTTGTATTTTATATGCCATCTTTGGAATTCCACTCTTTGGTTTCTTATTGGCTGGAATTGGAGACCAACTTGGAACCATCTTTGGGAAAAGCATTGCAAGAGTGGAGAAGGTCTTTCGAGTGAGTATTACTTCATATTTAAACCCTAACCACTATGATCTAGTAGCTGGACAGGATCCTGAAGGTAGTAGCAGGGCCATAGTCTGCTTTTAATGCAGTAGTTTAATGTCATGATTGTACCTTCTGTTTTGGCCAATTGCAGTCAGAGATGCTGTGCCTAAACTCCCTTCTCTTGCATGGCTTCCTATTTTAGAGGGTTTTTTCTAGAGTCACAGTATAAGAGGGTTAAGTACCGATTTGCCAACACAGATTTTCTGAAGAGGTAAGACAGACTCAGTTTCTCCTTAACGACTAAAGATGAATTCCTTATTGTGTTTGCAATGAAGAGGAGAATTGTAAATCCATCCTTTTTTGTTATTGGAGCTCCTTTACTCTTATTTCTAAGCACAGCTTCTGTAGGCTAATCTGGATTCTTCTAGAAGCCTGCCTTCTCCAGACACTGCTCTGTGCATTGCATCTGTCTCCCAATGGCCTCTCCCTTCTCCCACTGCTGAGCCCTCCCTCAGCAATAGTATCCTGTTATACTACTTTATACTAAGGTGTTAAAAGATTGCCATTGCCTTGCTGGTTTTTTTCCCCTCCCTCTTGGGAATATTTATCTTTAAACAAGGGACAAAAATCTCAACTCAAGGAATTTATTTACTAAAGATGGCTTTCCTGGCATCAGTGGCAAGCATGTGCAGTGGATGAGTGATTGAACTGGGGTTCCTGGAGCCCTTTAACTCACACTCACGATTTCACAGAACACTTGTTTTGCTTAGGTGTGTGACGTCTCTTCCCTCTTGAGAATGAGTATTGACCTCAGTCTCCAGTCTTTCAAAGCTTCTTCAGGGAATTCTTTCTTATGATGACAATATTTAAAAATATTGACATTGACATTTTGGGATCTTTTCCAGAATCTAGCAATGGTGGGCAAAGGTAGATGGGTAGTAAGCTCCAAAGCTGTGCTTTTGCCTTTTCCCTCTCTAAGATAAGAGCTCTCAAACTTTTAAGTTCAAGACTGTGTCTCTGAAATCCTGGCTTATACTTCTCTTTATAATGCAAGAGAGCCTCCCAGCTGAGTAGTTTCAGAAGGTTTTCTTTTTCATTTGTTTGTGTGTGCTTTTCTAAGAGTAGAAGGGAAGGAATAAGGCTCTATAGTTGGGTGAGAGCTACCATTGGTAACCTCAGTGGTCCCGGGAAAGTAAACTGCCTCAGTTTACTCGTTTGCAAAGGGGATAGAATTTGAATCTACTTTATAAGGTTTTGGTGATGATTAAATGAATCAATGTGTGGAAAAGAGCTTGGCGCAGGGCCAGACACATAGAGCCCAGAGCTGTTGTCTGTCTCCAAGAGAAACCGTCGTGGGCAGGCTACCCACTCGTTCAGGTTTCATTGGAGTAGCTCCGTGGTGTGTGAGTTTTACTGGAATGTCCCACAGCCTTTGCTCCGTAATGTGCCGGCTGGCCGGCTGGCCTCATTAGAGTGTACGCCTGGGCTCTGCAGTGGTCACCATGGAAACCATCCATGCTCAGCCTCTCTGCTTCTCAGATGTTTTGGTCTCTCTACACCAGACATGGCAGCCCTGTCTCAAGAGCCGTTTTGAACTTTTCAGAGGTACCCTGTTAGCTGCCACCTTATGGCCTCTGACTAAAAGCTTTTGAAATCCCCATTTAGCCTCCCAAAATTCTAGTTACCATATTCCAAATGAGGGCCGAGGTTGCAATTGTTTGGACTACATCTGCTACTGGATTTGGAGACTTAGTTTCCCCTAATTTGAATTTCAGACAAATAGAGCATACTGTTCTCCTTCTTCTTTAAGCTGCCTCTCAAATGAGTCATTCAGCGGATTCCGGGGCAAAGCCTTAAAAACCTCGCATTTCATCTTTGTGCTGGTTGCCCACTCAGTTTCCTTGTAGTGCCGTCAAAGACCAGGAGTCTTTTAGGAAGGCGAGACAGATGTACATTATTGAATTGGCAGCACACAATGAATGCATTTGCCAAATGTTGGGGGGTGGCTATTGGAAGGGCTGACTGAATTCCAGGAGGAATAGAAGCATATTTCCTGAATATACAAGCAGCTAATCCTGCACTGGTCTGCTTTCTGTATGTAAAGTTTTGGTAGAAAATCTCAAAGCTCTTTGATATTCATTTAAACTACCTTTAAAAGGCCAGGTACTTTTAGGTGATTATTTGGTAACTAAGAAAGCTTGGGGTTGTGAATTCTTAGTTCTCACGGGGAAGATTGATTTATTTTATTTATTTCATCTGCTCAATGATTGTTAAGCCTTTCTTTTCATCCGTTATGTTTTCTCTCAGCTCTTGGGAAGAGAGGATTTGTTGTGGAGTTAAAATAAAATGTAAAGTCAGCCTTCTAGTTGCCTATAACCCTGAGATGACTCTGGTTTGGGTCCTTCCAAGACATCAGGTCTGATCTTCATTTTAAAGAATTGTGAAGGGGTATTGCATTACATAGGAATGCTTTTGGTTGCAGAATAATAAAATGCCTAACTATAGGGTTTTTATGGGGTGAATAAATAAAAACTCTTTCTTCTCCTCTGCAGTTCAGGACTAACTGAGAAATAGAGGAGTCAGATGGGATTCAGAATGTCGGCTTTATTGCTGATAAGCTGATCTAGAGAATGTTGCTTTAGCTCTGTTGCCAAAAGGACCACTTTATCGTAAATTAAGACTTCCCTGCTGTATTGGTTTTCTGTTGCTGTGTAACAAATGACCCCAAATGTAGAAGCTTAAAACAACACTTTTAAATGGCCATCTTGCACCACCATTTAGGATGTTTGATTTTTCTTTCAGAAGATGTTCAAAAACAAGGGAAAAATAGAAGTAAAAATGCCAAATTATTTACAGACATGTGTAACCAAACCAAAATGAAACCAAAATAAGAGTGCTCACAAAATGTTTAAGCCAGGCATGCAGGTCAAGCAAAATACTAAACTAGATGTGCAGAAAGGACCGAGAGTGATTTCACCAGAAAAGACATGCATCACAGACAAAATTTAAATTCTGTAGAAACTAGAGTACTCCAACCAGAAGGACACTTGTCTTTTTACCAGAAATGGCTTGACAGAAACAAAAACAAAACATTCCATCTTATAGTCCCAAGAGAGATGCAAGAGTTCCCTTATTTAAGGTAGCCTTATAACCAAGTCATATTCTGCATAAAGTCAAAAAATGAAAACAACAACAAACCTTGCCAGCGGGAAGGAGCCCGAGAATCTGAGATTCCCTAGAGCAGAAAAGGTAACTCAAAGTAGTGAAAAGCACAAAGGGCTCAGATAGCATGACACTCGATTCCAGGGGCCACGGATTCCTCATGGGTGAGCTCACTCCCATCCCACTTCTGACACCATTTTATGTCACTCTCTATAACAGACAGAGAGAGGCTCATTAAAAGAAAATGATATTTACTCAAGAATGGGCATTGCAGTGGTAATACACATGCCATAGTAAACTTATACATGTGTTCAGGGAGGTAAAGGAAGATGAAGGTTTTTAAAGGAAAATGAGGATGATTACATGATTGTTTTGAGATAATTATCTCAATACAGGGACCAATAACAAGTGTAGTACCAGTCCACGGTTGGACAGGCAGTTGCTGGGCAGATGTCCTTGCAGAAGTATTTTATTGTGTAAGGTTGTGCTGGCCTTTGTACAAGGTTGTGGTTTTTGCAGAGCCTTTTGGGATAGATCTTATCACCAGGAATTTGTGCATAAAAAACCTCCCTTTCTGGCCTTCCCTGGCTCTGTTTGTCAGAATTTTTTAACACAAGTGACCCCATTTTGATTCTGGCAACTTCCACACCCCCAATGCTGATTAGTAACGAGTTAAGAATCTGGACCTTTACTTCGAGTGGCAGGAAGCCTGGAGGTAGGTCGATCAGGTTTGGTGCCATCAGCTCCACGATGTCAGTTACAGCAAAACTGGTTCTCTCTGTTCTGTTCTCCTTGGCATGTTGGTAGTTTGTGCTCAGGCTTGTCAGCTCCTGGTGGCAGGATGGCTGTCTCATGGCCAAATATGTTTTCACCCAACCTCATTTAAAGCAACATAAAAAAGAACCCCTTTAATAAAAGCCTTTTTCAGAGAAAAAGGTTTATATTCACAGCAAAATTGAAAGTACAGATATGCCATGTATTCCTTGCCCCTACACATGCACAGACATCCCCATCATCAGCTTCCCCCACCAGAGTGGTACATTTGTTACAGTTAATGAACCTACATTGACATGTCATTATCACCCAGAGTCAGTAGTTTACATCAGGGTTTACTTTTGGTGTTGTAGAGTCTCTGGACTTGGACAAATGTATAATGACATGTATCTGCCATTTTAGTATCCTGCAAAGCATTTCACTCTCCTAAAAATCCTCTGGGCTCTACCTATTCATCTCTCCCCATCCCCTAACCCCTGACAACTACTTTCCTTTTTACTGTCTCTGTAGTTTTGCCTTTTCCAGAATGTCACATAATTGGAATAGGACTATATGTAGACTCTTCAGATTGGCATTCTTCACTTAGTAATACACATTCAACTTTCCTACGTGTCTTTTCATGGCTTGCTTGATAGCTCGTTTTCTTTTTAGTGCCGAATAATATTCCATTTTCTGGACGTACCACAGTGTATTTATCCATTTCTCTACTGAAGGACATTTAGTTGCTTCCAAGATTTGGCTATTATAAATAAAGCCACTGTAAACATGTGTGTGCAGGTTTTTTGGGGTGTGGACATAAGTTTTCAATGCCTTTGGTTAAATACAAAGGAGTGTGATTGGCAGATCATATGGTAAGACTATGTTCAGTTTTGTAAGAAACTACCAAACTGTCTTACAAGGTGGCTGTATAGTTGTGTATTCCCACCAATGATGAGTGAGAGTTCCTGTTGCTCCACATCCTCATCAGCAATTTCTGTTGTCAGTGTGCTGGATTTTTGCAATTCTAAGTGTGTAATGGTATCTTGCTTCAATTTGCATTTCCCTGATGACATAAGATGTGGAGTATCTTTTCA